TATAACTAGTTGTCATCAATCTCCAGGCATGATGAGGTCCCCGTCTCGGCCTCCTCTGCTCTCGTTGTCCTCTCCTGCCCCCTCATTTCGCTAATGACGTGTTCCACGAAGCTTTATGCTAATTGGCTGCATTTCTTAGCCCAGCTGATGGGAACAACAGGCTATATGATCCACAGCCACAAACATTCCTGCATCCAAGGTAGACTACTACCGCATTCTTCTCGCCCCCTTCATTTCATCTTTCAGGGTCATCGTTGTACTTTTTCTTTATTGAAAGAAGTAGCAGTAAATAGTAAAAACAAGGACACTTGAACGTATGTATGGGTTAGAATACTGAAAATAGGCTTTCTTTTGTCTGAAAAGAACGTTAATCGCATTCGCCGCGCGCCAAGAGTGTCAATGTCATCGACCGGCTCGCGTCGTTGTGCTAGGAATTTCGTGAGTTATTCAGTGCGATCGATACGCATTAGGAACATTACGAACTCCCCTCAGATCTGTTCTTTCCTCAGTTTGAGGTATTTATGAACATAGTTTCTCCAAGAGGCGCCTTTAATCAAATAGGACCGTGGTNGCTGGCCTTTGATCAGAGAAATCGAAGCACCCTCGGGGTAATGGAAACAGAAATGCTGCTGCTGTGCTATGAACGGCTGGGGTTACCGGTTTGACCTTATACACAACGATGTGGTATGGGAGTGTTTCGGAGTAGCCCCTACTGCTGATCAAGTTCGCGAGCTCGTCGTCAGTGGGCCGTCTCCTACGCTCGACCAGAAACAGTGTCCCTGGGATCGGCCTCAACCTCGACCTGTCCAGAAAATCGCCTGGGTGACGCCCAAAGCGAAGCTCATTTGATACCCTGCATAAGGACTTGAAATAGGTTGGCCTTAATCCCGATCGTTAATCAAGCGCCTAATTGAGGGAAGTGGCGTCATCACACTAAAAAGGCAGGTCCCGCTTCAGAGTCAAGCAAACGCTCAAGGAGGTAACAAAGAGTTGTTGTTGCAAATAAGCTGAAAATCCTGACCAAACACTCGAATTTTATAAAGTTTTTGAGAGCGGCTTTATGGCCTAAGACGTTCATTAACCAATAAGTAACCTGTCGCCAAACTGTAGACATCAAAGCTACCAGCAGAAGTTTTGTTACTATTCTGGACACAACTGCTAGCTGGTTGTGCTTGAGAGCCTCAGCTGGAGCACTGACCTCCATGAAAAGCCATTTTGCGATACGATTTTCGAGATTCCGTTGATCAGCGTTGGTTAATCTTTAGCTTGCTTGAGTTATCAGTACCAAGTGCTCTGCAGCGATTCACATTTTTGACGAACCTCGACCTTGGGAAATTCAGCAGTAGCAAGGTAATCGTGGATGTTGAAGGATTCAGCGAGTTTAGTTTACTTAAATGAGGACGTCAAGTATTTACGCAGCTCTTGAGATGACATGAAGGGACTCAGTGACGTTCTCTGGGAGCCCTACAGTATTACTGCACGATAGAAAGTACTCGTTTCTGTAGGAGAACTTCCATCGTCGTGACTAAGCGATTTAGAGTATATGCTGTTACGTAATTACAATTTTATGGAAGGGAATAACGTCCGGGAAATCGATTCTGAAGCCCATTCCTCTTGCTGTGCTTTCTATCGCACTTTTAGAAGTTCAGTTTCACCGTCCATTAAGCCCATCCTTTGGCAATTATGAAGACTTCATTATGCTACGCAAAAGTCGATTATTTTGACAGCGAAACTCCTTTGCTTCTGCAATGATTTTTATCAAGAGCATTTTTTTAAAAGGCACACCTCACAACAGAAATCGCTTCCGAGATGAATTCGAAGTCCCTTTGTAAACCTTGTACACCATAGCTGGCGCTACCAGTTCAGAAAACGGCCCAGTTAGGGCGTTATAAAGAGATTGTCTCGTGTGTATCCTCGGACAAATTTCACCGGCATTGTGGAGGCTGCACCATTCAAAAGGGAACCCATGTAGGAAGTTCAACAACTTGCATGACCCATAGCGACAGTGAAAAACAGTTCTGTACAGTTCTGGCTTGATATAGTTAGCTCTTCACGCAGCTGCAACTACTGAAATCTCGTCCGAATGATAGTTAGCTCTTCACGCAGCTGCAACTACTGAAATCTCGTCCGAATACCTCTTCTGTGTCAATACCCTCGGTAATCTCGTCCAACCTCAGTTTTCACTTTCAGGGGCCATTTTTTCTCGAATTCGGGGAATTTCCTTGATTTCTTCATTACCGATGAACTGTTCCCAGCCTGTAATTCCGCTTTTTGAATAAAATGGGGTACCTCAAAATGAGCTGAACTGTGCCTTTACTACCTCAGCAATTGTACCAAGATTACCACCGTTTACCCAGTTATTATGCCCTTAATATTTCTTCTTCGTTTTGAAAAATTTCCTAGTCTTTGATACCTCTCAATTCGAACTTACTTTGAAGAAGCCTCTATTCCTCTGCTTTCTCATTCCCTCGTTTCCACATGCCTAACATTTCCGGCTCATTTTGTTCTAAAGCATTAGGGATGCATTATTTTTTGTTGCAACTTTTGTTATGCTTCATTTCCGTGGTCGAATCGTCGAGAGCGACAGATCTCCATCCCCTCCCACATTACTAAATCTCTTCGTTCGTCCCCTGCATTGCTCAGGGGATGTCAGCCAATTAATTAATCATGAAGACAATTTCGAGCTCTCAGGTCTGCCCCTTTTGAATCCTCTTGTTTTCATGTAAAGTGGTTCGATTCAGACCTCTTATGACTTGTTTGCTTGTTGG